CACACACACACACACACACACACACACACACACACACACACACACACACACACACACACACACACACACACACACACACACAACACAGGTAAGATGATATAAGGGCTGCGAATAGGCATTACATTTCCACTTGAAAGCCACTGATTTACAGAAAGAATTACACCTATTGTCGTTAATATTGAACAAAGGGAAGATCTTTACACCCAAACATAACCACCTGTCAACAAACGCAGGGTTAGGTATGAGTTAGAGTTATAATAATACCACAGTAACAAACATATGCAACATATACAAAACTACAGTAATAATATCTCAAAATCTTAAGCCCCGTAGCACTTCATACGTACAGATAAATGTTTCAAGCACTTACTCATATGTATTCGTAATAGTATGTGCACGTGGACATCATGATTCACTCATACGTCATCAATAGCATGAATACGATCACTATCATTGTGGAGCGACGGACACAAGTACACATCGATTCATTCTCTACCTATTAGGTACAAAATTATAGCGATATGTCAACATTTAATTTTTGCTGCCCAGGTTTTGTGAAATTTGGTTTTTATCACGACAGCACTGGAGACAGCCAATTGATAGATAGGTAGCTTCGCGGTAAACAATTAAACTTTCCTCGATAACATATTTACTACAGTACTAAATAACATACAGGTAGTTGTATACCGTACTAAATAACATACACGTAGTTGTATACCGTACTAAATAACATACACGTAGTTGTATACCGTACTAAATAACATGCATAACATAAAATAAAGGCAAGAGTCGATGAAGGATAAAAGGACAAGCATTCGGTGTAAAGAAGATCTCTCTTTCCAAACACTTGCAGCGTTCTACCTGACATTGAAATGAGCTGTTAAATCACGGTCAGTGCAATGAGGAGCGGATAGGTACATGCGTCGATGTCGTGGGATGGAAAAACAAACAACAAAAGAAGGTGATCTGTACGGAATCTCCAAGTCGGGGTCCGGTTGCCTATTGTCAAAGTGCGGAAAGGGTTAAAAGGCACAGTGAACCCCAGCCTAACCTGGGCAGATAATGCAACAGCACAGAAAATGTATGCAAAGACACATAGAGCAGCGAAGACTAGCACTAAAACTAATCAGCAGAGATTCGTTGACAGTTTTGTCATAAAGATACAGCAGCAGCAGCAGCGGCGGCGGCGGCGGCGGTGACGGCAGCAGCAAGGAGAACCACAAAACAGTTGCGGCATAGTTCCAAGATATGCAGTGAAATGCCAACAGCAAGATGACTCAATTAAAATCTCGATTCTAACAGAAGCAAATAAACGTGAACACCTTCACTGACATATTGCTTCAGCTATATAATCAAATATGGCAAGTGGAAACATTTTTGATGTTCCTCGGGCAATGAGAATGGAATACCAGAGAGTACCAAAATAATCCACAGATCACCTACAATTGTTCAACACTAAGGGTACTACACGCCATTATATTCTTATATTATCAGAGTTCTATCCAGCGCCAGACATTTGTGTCTTTTTTGTCACCATGCCCTCCTTAGTGGCTATTGACTGCACCATGAGGAAGACCTTTGAAAACAACAGGAACGCCATTCGCTGGTCTGTAGAGACACAGCTGGGAGACCTCGTCCATACTGACCACCTAGCTAGCCTGTCCCACGGGCACCAACAGATACGAGAAGAAAACGGCAGACCGCGAAACCACGTCATTACAACTAGGACTCAGTATTTAAAAAAGAAATGGTCGTAAGCTTCAACAGCAAGTCAAAACACTCAGCCATCCCTACGGCTCAACCACATCGAGGTCAATAAAAGCAACAATAGAAGCATTCTAATTCTTTTCCGGCGAGTGCCCGAGACGTATTCTTCAGATAAGTTATGATAAGACTAACACTGCAATGAGCAACACTGCGCTTTGAAAATACACAGTCGCGGTAGAGATTAGGAGGAGCAATCTTTAACCTTCGGTAGTGAGTCTATAGATAACCACCGTCAACATACTAACAGTTCTATATTGGAACACGCAAAGGGAAAATAAAGAAGAGGCGCCGAAGATAACGTAACACTAATACACGGGAGATGAAGACGAGTGAAAAGATCCACTGTCCCAACAGGGTGCGATGGAAAAGTTGGACGGCCTATATATACTTATGAGCTAAAACTTATTAGCTAATACTAAAAAACTTTTAAAAACTTTAAACTTTAAACTAAAACTAATACTAGAAATCATTCTAAGAAGGACGCTAATGTGTTTTGCGCAGTTTGCGTCCTCGAAAGAATATAGCATTGTTCCTGCGTAACAACAGCCTGGTGTTTGTAACGTAACTATTACACGCAATGTGCTACCATAACTAGAACTATCATGATGCATAACTTACGATACATACTGCAGTTACTTTGAATATAGAAATGTTTACTTTACAGTTCACACGACTACTTCAATTGCCATCTAACTAAATTTGCTGTGAACAACTTTTTTCAGCATGTCAGCACTGTCATGTCAATTAAGGTGTTCCGAGAATGCATTTGGCAACGATGGAAACTAATAATACACATAAAATAACATCGTTGTCTCTGCGTTGTACCACTACTGCAGTAGTTCGTGGAAGTATCAAACATGGATAAAGGATGAGCAATTAATTACCCTAATTTAATTCCCCTTTCCATTTTGCAAAACAACGTTCCAAAACACAATTGCATCAAAGGAAGACCGTGCACACACGTACCAAGACAAAGCATTTTTCCAAGACGTTTCCAGGTTATTTTGATTACTTTAGAGGCCCATCTTCTATGACCTCACGGTTTAAGCAAAATACAATCTTTATACCTCCTATCTTCCAATCAACATTTCGTGAACAAACCTTTGCCTCAAGCAAGTTTTATTGCACCTCAGACAGTAAGCAGTTCTGTCTTCAGTATTATCATTATTATCAGTATTATCAGTTGGTATTATCATTCGTAAAATGCATACACATAGACACGTACGTACTCAATATCCACAACTTTTCCCCGCTGTCGCGCGAAATTCCTGACGTGTGCGAAATACAAGATATAGGACTAGCGGTATACCCGGCGTTGCCCAGAGAAATCAGTGGTGTTACTCAGTTGGTGACCGCTTGGTTGAAAGGAAAATACCCAAAACTATCTATCTATCCATGCATCCATCCATGCATCCATCCCATTCCATGCCATCCCATCCCATCCCATCGCACCGCATCCCATCCCATCCCATGTCATCGCATCTCATGCCATCCAATGCCATGCCATGCCATGCCATGCCATGCCATGCCATCCCATCCCATGCCATCGCACTGCCTCCCATCCCATCCCATGCCATCCCAATCCCATCGCATGTCATCCCATGCCATGCCATGCCATCCCATCCCATCCCAAACAGTA